GCCATTCGCCTAGCTTCTGTGGGATATCTGTCGGCGACTTTGAGGACCTCTTTCTGGAGGTCGAACTCGAGGGTCGTCGGGTCGCCTGTAGGACTTCGATCCTACGCTACTGAAGGAGGAGAGACCAAAGAAGTGGCGAAGACGGAGGGACCTTCTGCTGCTGCTGCTGCTGGTGCTCCTAAAGGGAATATTGGTAGAGTATCCGTGGAAAAAAATAACAGAAAAATCCTAATATATTGCAAAAAAAAGTCCTTTTTTTTGCCTCTATTGGACTGGTTTTGTGTGTACGTGACCAAAGGCAGATGTCAGTCACAGTTAATTATTATGGTTATTATAAGTTTTTGAATATATTCACTGTATTTTATCAATGGCATCTGTTAATATAATCCTTTGCCTTGAAATATTGTTATCATAGTAACAGTCATTACTATATATATGCCTTTTTAAATAAATGAAAAGTAAAAAGATATTCCAGAATGACTAATTGTAAAGGTAACAAAGTTTTACGGGTTGTGGATTATTGAACCTAGCCTAGGTAGAGATAAGCTAGGTAATGCATTTGTACACATATATTATACCGATATAAGTTTTAAGAAAAGATTAAAGAAATAGATATTGGTGTTTAGCATTTAAAAAGAAAAGGAGAAAACAAGAAATCAAGCCAAAAAAATATATTGGTGTATAGGGTTTAAAAAAAATAGGATTGCAAAAAGAAAAAAAAATCAAGCGAAAATATCAAAGGATCAGGTAAACTCTTTCGGCTTAAATTACATTTTGAGGTTTCTTAGGTAGACCAGTGTAGGATACCTACCATTCTCTGTACGGGGATAGTGAATAATACATTATGGTATTTTTAAAAATCTTTTTATTTAGTTAATTAATTGACTGATTTTTTTATTACTATTTTCTAACTGGATAAGTTGAAGTTTGTAAATGCTTAGGCATAATGACATGATATATTTCCATACCTATATTGTTTAGATTATTATTGATGGTGTTATTGTTAAGATTTAATCATAATTTTGATTCTAATTATTATTATGATAATAGTAATGACAATAGTAATCAAGATGATAATGCCAATAATGATAATAATGATAATGATAGTAACAATTGTTTGTTATTATTATTACTATTACTCTTACTATTGCTACTGCTACAGGACTGCTAATAGTATTCTAATTCCTATTACTATTTCTACATATATTTCTATTTCTGTTACTCTTACTATTACTCATACTATTGCTATTGCTATTACTATTACTGTTACTATTATTATTATTATTACTATAATTATTATTATCATTATTATTGTTGTTGTTGTTGTTGTTATTATGATTATTATTATTATTACTATTACTATTATTACTGTTTCTCCTCCTACTACTACTACTGCTATTCCTATTCCTGTTCTGATTATTATTCCTTTTGCTATTGTTGCTACTACTACTACTACTTCTACTTCTACCACCACTACCACCACCACTACTGCCACTACTATTTTGATTATTACTACTACTACTACTACTACTACTACTACTACTACTACTACTTCTACTACTTGTTATTGTTATTGTTATTGTTATTGTTATTGTTATTATTATTATTATTATTATTATTATTATTATTATTATTATTATTATTATTATTATTATTATTATTATTATTATTATTATTATTATTATTATTATTATTATTATTATTATTATTATTATTGTTATTGTTATTGTTATTGTTATTATTATTATTATTATTATTATTATTATTATTATTATTATTAATATTATTATTACCATTATTTTAATTATTATTGCTATTATCATTATCATTATCATTACTGTTGTAATCATACATTAATTATTATTCATATGAATACTATTGTTATTATTGTTATTATTGCAATGATTGATATTACCGTCATTATTATTATTAATACCCAATTTTCGAGCAGATACCATGGCCTCATATTTCTCTCTTTTTCCGCAGGATTGAGGGATCATCGAATCAACAGCTTTGAGAAATTTTTGATGGTATGGGGAGGAAAGTACAAATCTCTGGGTGAAGTACCAGATTTTGTCAGGTGAGAAATTGAGGTTATGTTGTTAGTTATTATTACTGATTTGAAAAGAAGAATGAGTTTAAAGAAAGGAGAATGAATTTGTTCATGATTTAGGTAGGATTTTATGTATGTATATGTCTATATATATGTCTATATATATGTCTATATATATGTTATATATATATATATATATATATATATATATATATATATATATATATATATATATATATATATATATATATATATATATATATATATATATAATATATATATATATATATATATATATATATATATAATATATACATATATATACATATATATATATATATATATATAATATATATATATATATATATATATATATATATATATATATATATATATATATATATATATATATATTATATTATATATATATATATATATATATATGCA